GGCTTATTGTACCCTCGTTGATATGTTACTGTAAACCCTTCCATAAAATACGGACTGCAGATACTTTAATAATAAAGGAAAAACTCCGACCAATGAGGTTATTCTATAAACTATAAAAAAAAAATCAATACAAACAATTATATTCTGAAGAAAATATGAAAAATTTCATAACCTTAAAAGAAGGCAAACCAAATTTAATGAATGATTATAAATTAATCAAACTACTCAAAGGATATAAAAATAACATATCAGAATTAAAAATTGTAATACACGCTTCTATAGGCTTATCGATAAATGACAAACCCCAATACGATAGAAAATATAACTGGAAAATAACCAGAATAATAGAAGAAATAAAGTGTGCAAAACAAATAAAAAGCAAAGTATATGTATTATATGTAGGTGTATCAAATATAGGTAAAGGTGCAAGAGAAAAGGTACAAATAAAACTAAACCTCGAGGAAATACTTAGAAAAACACAAGAAACCAAAGTAATGATATTATTGGAAAACACTGTATCAAATAAATGCTATAGAGCTAATATGGGAGAGCTTATATCAATAAAAAAAAGTATTAAAAAAGAATTACAAAACTTCGAAGATAAAAATAGAAATAAGGTACCAAGAATAAAGCTGTGCTTTGACACACAACACTATTTTGCCGCAGGAGCTGGCAGATTTATAGAAGACTACAAAGAAGTCTTAGACAAATATAAAAAAGAAATCTATCTAATACATATTAATAATGTAATGAAAGAAAGAAAAATAAATAGGCCTGATGGCGTATATATAATAGTAAGACCTACCATATTTGGCTCTGGCCAAGATATATATACATCTTTGCTAAACAGACAATTACCACAAGAGATATTTGAAATGATAATGAAACATCCAAACACTAAAGCAGCTATATTAGAAACACCTGAGAAAACAAATAAACAAAAAAATGAACAAGTATCTGAAGTATATATACTTAAAAATACACTGGCGATCTAATAACTGAAGATAAAGAACTATACGCATCAATCGAAGAAATGAATAGATGCAATGTTACAAAATCTTATATTAAAAAACTCACTACTTGATATAGATATAATTGACCTTACAGAACAAATGAACTGATTAACTATCCAAAATAGAGAACATTATCAGGATCCTAAAGAAGAAAAATTACAAAAAAGAATTAGAGAACAAAAATGAAAAAGAACCCTACAAATAACTAATGAATTCTTAAACAAATATAGAACTGAAAAGGTGACTAAAAAGAAAAAAGATCACCACCAACTTCAAAGAATATAACAATGATGTTAAACTAAAATATAAAAGAAATAAAGACAAAAAAGAAAAGGAAACTCAAAATGAACAATTTATAAAAGACCTAGAAGAATTAATAGTAGAAATAACTAGTATAGAAAATGAATATGAGGCAATTCAGAGAATACCTAAAGCAAAACTAGATGAAGTATATCAGCAGATACAAACTATACCTTTGCTATCTCAAGATATTAGAAAAATTCAAGATAATGAAATACTATGAGAAAAGATTTATGCTTTTCTTTATTAGCACAAAGAATAACAAGAACCTACAAAACTATATTACAAAAATGAAATAGCTGAACGAGAAAGAAATTACCAATATATATATGATGATTCTATACAAATACAGCCTCAACAATTTGTAAATATGCCAATAGCTGATAAACAACTAGTTATGCAACATCTAGTAGGAGAATCTAACAGCAATGCTAATCCTAAAAAATGAGAACAAGTAAAACAAAAGTACTTTGACAATCTAATGATAGAAACAAAAAGATTTGACCATGTAAAACAAATACAACAAAGACAATAAGAGCAAAGTAATATAATACAAGATAATGATTCTGATAGTATAAAATCTGACAAAAAACACCAACAAAAGAATGACAAATTCTTTAGACAGTATTATGAAAACCAAGATATTGTAGATCCAAGTCATTACCAAATACTATATACAGAAGAAAGCAATATATCAGACCTAAACCTTGGAAAAGGAAGTAGAACACAATACATACTACTATCTTCACCACGATATATCTCACAAATAACCTCTTCATACTCAAAAACACAATCAGTAGACTTAGAAAATATGAAATTACTAGATGCTTCACCATATCCAATAACTATTGTATCTGCTTCACCAAAATCAACTATTAAAAAATTCTCAGAAACAGTACAGTTATCCCTCATTAATATCAATCCCGTTAATATCAATCTAGGATATAAAATGAATTTCTATATGTTAAATTATATTAAAATTCTCTCATATATATCAACTTTAATATGTTCCCTCATTAATATCACTATCAACATGAATATAAAAGCGATCCAAATATGTTGATATTAATGAGGGATGACTGTATCATCTTATATACCAAAGTTACCATTCTTAACAAAAAAAGACTCAAGTCAAGATTTGTGAAAACTGCGTTAAAAGATAATGCTACAATACAATTAACTCAAGAACCAATATTACAAATAGATAATTTGCTAAATAATGAATTCACCATACTATCCATATCTGATGAATTCAAAAGACAAAGACAAACATCATTCACTAAAAGATATGAACCTGAAACAACTAAACAACAAGGAAAATTAAGTGAACCTACAATTGAAAAACAAAATAAATTAAAGGTAGATGCATTTGATAAGCTATTTGAAGAAATGATGGCTGAAGTAGACCAACAATTAAAGAAATCAGATTACAAATCACCTAGTGAGTCACCAAGTGATTCAATAGAGGTATCACCAAAATTAAAGCCAATAACAGATCAAGCATCAACACCAATTCCTAAAAAGACAGCACTTCATATAGATATAATATAGAATTAGATTCTGTAGAACTGCAGTACAAACTAATAAAAATGAATAGAAAAACTATAAGACTGCATAAAGCATTAGCATATATACCCAATGAAATAAGACAACACATCATACCAACAATTGGGAAAGGCCAACCTGTTTACACAAATAAACAAACAATAATTAAACCATTTATATGGCAAAAAATAGAAATAGTTAACTCTAAAAAAAGAAATGAAAATTTAATTAAAACACTAATGCATGTTGCACAAAACAGATTAACTATTCAAGACAGATTAATCTGAGAATCGACAACTAAAATACAAATATTTAACTGGATGAATAAACCAATTAGAATACTTAGCAAAACACATATAGGAAATATAAAAAAAGTAAAAGAAATCTTCAATTTCCAACATAAAACACACAAAGATAACTGGAAAAATGAAGAAGAAAGATTAAAAATATTAATTAAAAATACTGATCCTTAATATAGAAAAATGTTCAAACCACTATTCAAAAAATATGTTAAAACAGTATTTAGAATGAAACCAGAAGAAGCAACTATATTTAATTCTAAAGCATTTATACCAATAAGCTTACCGCTTAATAACCAGAAGATCAAATACCTAGAAGTGAAAATTCTAGAATGAGATCAAAACCTTTAGACCCAGAAGCACAGAAAAAGCTAACGAATTATATGAAGGTCTAATCAAAGACAAATACATAGAACCATTAATATTTGACTAGACATTACCTCTTGTGATAATTAAAAAACAAGATAAAAGCTATAGAATAGCATGTGATTATACTAAATTAAACAAGTATACAAAAGATAACCTGTTTGAAATACCATATATAAATAAATTCTTGCAAAAAATAGCACAGTATAAATACTATGCCACAATAGACCTTAAAGCCGCATACTATCAATTCCTTTTACAGAAAAAGAACGAGATAAAACAACTATATTCTTTTCAACAAAAGGAAAATATAGATAGACTATACTACCTATAGAATTGAAAACAGCACTTGCATATATAATGAGATATATGTATAAAATTTTTTTTCACTTACCGTTCGTAGCAATATATATGGACAATGCAACAGTATTAGCTAATAGCTTTGAAGAACTCTTAAAAAATCTCAAAATGATATTCAAGAGCATAAAAAGAGCAGATATGGTATTAAAACCTGAAAAAAATGTTTATTTTGTCTGAAAGAAACAAAAATTTTAAACCACTTAATTTCATATAGAAAAATACAATCGAACCAAGTTAAAAAAAAAAGAAGCCAAAAAATTAAAAATTCCAAAAGATGTAAAAGGTGTTAAAGAAGGAAAAATACCAAGAAATTCAACTATAAAAAGATAGTTAATAGAATTGCAAGATATGAAATACACAATAGAATGAATATCTGGAAAAGACAATACAATGGCAGACTGGCTATCACAACATTTAGGACAAGTTGAAAGAAAAGAAAATATACCACTGAATTTAACAATACAACCAAAATATGAATTAAGACAAAATTTTAAAGAAAAAGTAAAAATAGTGGAAAGGCAAAGCCTAATGATTATTAATAAATTATCAATCACTATAATTACCATCAGAATATAGAGTATTACTCTGAGTTAGATCACAATAGTTATACAATAAATCATCTATAGTATATACAACTACAATATATAAAATTACAATCTCTACAATGAATAACTTCCCAATCGAAGCCTGGATCTAAATTTATATATAATTTATCCTTACCCACAGAAATCTTCGCCTCTGATGAAGAACTATTAGGGAAAGAAGAATTAGAGTAAGAGCCCAACTCATTACTCTTAGAACTAACAAAACTATTATCTACCTGAATAGTTTGAAAATTATTTAAAGAAGAAGTAGTTTCTCAGTTACAACCCTCGATAGGAATACTACAAATATTCATATCAATAAATACGATATAATCAGTTAAAAACTGACCAAGAGAAATCTCCTCTTCGAACCAATAGTTATCAAGGACCTCCTTAAATATATGATCCTTGAAGTCTTCGCTATCAAAGATGATCTACTTGAAAGAGTTAATATTGAACTCAAAGGAAGAATCATAAGCTTGAATATAATCGAAAACAATATTCTGAAAAAAAAGATCAATATGGTAATCACTATAAGTATTCTATATATTCAGCAAGCAAATAAGAAATAATGATATCCTTAGTATAAAGATCGATATAAAGATGATCATAGTCATTGATTGAAAGATTATTTGAAGATATTGTATAAAAAGTTATTGTTAAATATTATAATTGAAAGTATTATAAGGTTAAGGTTTGAACTAGAAAAAGTATTGAATAAAATTCTGAATATCAACTGTTTTTATAAGAAATTGAGTAACACAAAATATACTGATAAACTTATAAATACAACCTTATATGCATTAGAAAAAACTGATAAGAGAAAGTGCTCAACCAAATACTTATAATGTACTAATTATATTGTTGGATTAAGTCTTATGAGATAGCAGTGTGGATATACAAGATTACTCAAGTGAATTCTTATCAGAAATATTTTGGGATATACAAAGATTATTAGGATTTGATAACTTCATTAACGAATTAGATAATTACTAATTGGATAAATAAAGATGACTCACATACTATCATACTATAAGCTCAAAGAAATCTTAGAATCCAAAACACGAACTATCGAATATTTACAAGATAAGAAAGTACTACTACAACAAATGAAATGTCCAAATTGTGATCAAGATATAACTCTTAATCATACCTAATTTAGCTGTATGAAACGCATATATAGAAAAAGCATATCTATCTTTAAAGATACAATATTCTTAGAATCAAAGATACCATGTAACCAATTATTAATAATTGCCTATTTATAGATAATCAAATGTAAATATAAATTAATACGTGTATTCACAGGAATGTTTCCAACAACAATAACATGATGGCTAAAAATATTTAAGGAATTAGTAAGCTTTAATTTTGAAAAAAATATCAACAAATAGATAGAAAAGATATCATTGTAAAAATAGATGAATCACGATTTAGAACATAAAAAACATGGATATACAATGAAAAAAACAAATAAATTTGAAATAAAATTAAACTATATATGGGTATTTGGAGGTGTAAAATGAATACCCCAATCTAAGATATTTGCAATGATTGTAGAAGATAGGTCAGCAGATACTCTGCTAAAACAAATAGAAAAACACATTTATCCTGAATTAATTATATATTCAGATATGTGTTCAGGTTACCAAAATATTTACTTATAGCTAGGATACTCTGCCATGCGATTAATCATTCTAAAGAATTTACAATGACTGAAAAAAGTAAAACCTCAATACAAACTAAAGTATATCACACAAACACAATAGAAGCATATTGGCAAGTGATCAAATCAAAAATACCACCAAGAGAAAGAAGATACTTATTCTTAGAATTATTAGTCTTTATTTGAAAAAAACAAAACCCTCATGATCAATTTGGAGCCTTTATCAAATGTTTACAAAACATAGCTAAATTGAGTACCACAGGAATTGAATCAGAAACTATTGAAGAAATAGAAGACATTGATGAAGCATAAACAAACAGAATTTAAGAACTTGAAACCCAAAGAATAAATTAGAAAATCATAGAAACCAACAACTATTTAAGGACCCTGAAAAGGACTCCAACTCTGAAAGAAAAAGTTACTTGATCAGAAAAACAAAAAAAACTCTTAAAACAAATAATGTCAAGTACCAAAAACATCAATGACTTCTGAAGAAGAACTAAACCTATCCATTGTTCTGATTGCAATTATTCTAGGTTACCTAGTCATGATTGCTTACGCAACCCAGGCAATCCTAATACACTTAAACGATTTACGAAAAATTAAAGAATAAAAGAAACAATCAACTCTAAAATAAATCTCAAAGAAAAATTTAGAATCTGGGATAATACTCTGAGAGAAGAGTACCCCTTTTGCAAAAAAATATTAATACTCTATCAACATAATTGCCTAAAGAAAAATGAAAGGAAATTTGACAAAGACTTCTTACTATATCTACACCAAAAAACTACTTGTGAAATCTGCTTCAAAACAGGACATCCTAAATCATACTGTCCAATTGTAACCTGCAAAATCTGTGAAGAAAAAGAACATATCTCTAAGAATTGTCCAAATAAATCTGATATAACTAAAGAAATGAAAAACTACTGGAAACAAGAACCTAAAGAAAAAAGAACCATTACCACCAAGAATTAAAGAAGGATAGCAACTTACTTGTAAGTATTGTCATCAAGATTATCATGAACAATGCCCATATTATAACCTTCTTGAAGCTCAACGAACTCAAACATATTGATGCAACCAGAAAAAAGTAATGAATGAAAGAATCCACCAATAGGAGACACTTGAAAATAAATCATACCAAGAAGTACATCATTCACCAACTTATCACTGTTGTAACTGTCAAAGACCCATTAAGAAAAATGACCACTTTATACTAAATAACTTTGAAGTAATTAACCCTGATAATGTAAAGAAATATTATAATGAAATACTACTTTGCAAAACATGTTATTACACCCAATTTGAGGAATTAGAAATTGATGACCCAAAAGCAGAAAAATATTACAAAAAAGAAGGAATCAACAAATTAACCAAATACAACTTCTGTTGCAAACCAATTAGAAAAAGACAAGGTTACTAATTATGAAATACAGGACAATATATGTGTTGTCTAGAAGAAATGATAGCATTCATGGTCTATACAGAAATAACTGACAAACCAACATATCGAATCCACCAATGTATTCATTACTGAACAAGATATGGTATGCATGCAAGTAAAAGTATTAATGAATCAAAAATTTACAGACTAGTTGCTTTAATCAAAGAAGAAAAAGCACTATTCGATAAGGAAGAAATCTCCAAACAATATAACCAAAAAGCAATACTTTTACAAGAAAAAGAAGAAAAATTTATTCAAGACTGGTATATAATCTACTACAAATAAACAGAAATGATAATATCATCCTATGATGAACTAGATGATCAATTCAACAACTCTGATGAACTAATTATAGACCAAGATATAGTCATAGAACTAGTAGAAATTAATACTGGAGAACAAGACCAAGTCATAGCAGATATTACTACTCAAAATCTTGACTATAATTATAAACCAAAAGAACTAAATGCCAAAAATTAGAAAGAAAAAACAGCACAATACAAAATATACAACGAACCACAATTGGATATCAAAGAAAAAGAACTTTGCACAGAATGCAAATGCCCCTATAATGAAAAAGAATTACTAAATGAATATTGTAACAAATATTACAAAGAAGTACTAAAATGTATTGGATGCAAACAACCAACCTTTGTTGAAACATTAAAAAATGCAAAATGCACTATCTGCTTTCAAATGGAAGTGGAACAATGAAGAAAACAAGAAAAAGATCAAATTCACGAAATTGAAAAAGAAGAATTCTTATCTAATAAAAAATTTAAAGTAACAGTTGAAACTGAAGAATTTAATTTTGACAAAATTGAAAGAACTAAAATAGAACAAATGAAACAAAAAATTATTGACCTGAAGAAACTAGCTATTGAACAAAGCGAGAATATCAAATATCTCACTGAAGCAATAAAAATTTACAAGAAATGGTAAATACCTTATACAATGAAAATATTAAATCAGTGTGAAAAATTGAAGAACAAGAAGAAAGAGACTATTTAACATGTACAAAACAAATAACAATATAGCAAAACCAAGCTGTAACAGAATGGAATATTTTAGAACATGAATATCCCAGAGAACGATTTGACAATATTCAAAGAGAAATTAATAATAAACTTAGAAATAATAACTTCCCCTAAAAAATGAAAAATGAAAAACATCTCTGAAAAAC